GTCAACACTGTGTGAGCCACTGACAGTCTTTCACACAGAGACACAACTTGGGAAACACTAGTATGTATTTGGCTATTTTGAAATTAAGGTGATTAAAAAGAACCTGAGCCAACTTATATCAGATGGCATTATCAGAGTTCCCCTTTATATCAGGAGTCTGCATCAGAGTCCCCCTTTATATCAGGTTCCCATCAGAGTGCCTTGTTATTATTTATTTCAGGTACTTATATAGTGCCATCAATTTACACAGCGCTTTACATATATATTGTACATTCACATCAGTCCCTAACCCTCAAGGGGTGTACAATCTAAGGTCCCTAACCCTCAAGGGGTGTACAATCTAAGGTCCCTAACCCTCAAGGGGTGTACAATCTAAGGTCCCTAACCCTCAAGGGGCGTACAATCTAAGGTCCCTAACCCTCAAGGGGTGTACAATCTAACCGGATCAATCACTGTTTTTGGTAGAAATTATATCTCTACATGGCAAATAATTTCCTAGCAGGTGTAGTAGAGTAATAGAAATCCAACAGACCCAACAGTCATGACATGCATGCTGCTGATTCTGTGTCATTGAATCACTCATTGAAAGGGGGTGTTCAAAATAATCGCAGTGTGGAGTTCTATTAGTGAGGTCATTCATTCTTTGAAAAACAGGTGGCAATTATTGCCCTTATTTAAGGAAGGAAGGCAGCAAATGTTGTACATGCTGGTTACAGTGCATTTCTCTCTGAAATTCTGAGGAAAATGGGTCGTTCCAGACATTGTTCAGAAGAACAGCGTACCTTGATTAAAAAGTTGATTGGAGAAGGGAAAACATATAAAGAAGTGCAGAAAATGATCGGCTGCTCAGCTAAAATGATCGCAAATGCTTTCAAATGGCAACAAAAACCTGAAAGACGTGGAAGAAAGCGAAAAACTACCATTGGAATGGATAGAATAGCCAAAATGGGGCGGACTCAGCCAACAATCAGCTCCAGGAAGATGAAAGAAGGTGTGACGTTCCCTGTGAGGACTGTTACAATTAGAAGACGCCGATGTGAAACCAAGCTATCTGCAAGAAGTCCCCGCAAAGTCCCCCTGTTGGGAAAAAGACGTGCTGAAGAGGTTACAATCTGCCAAAGAGCACATTGACCGGCCTAAAGAGAAATGGCGCAACATTTTGTGGACTGATGAAAGTAAGATTGTTCTTTTTGGGTCTAGTGGGCGGAGACAGTTTGTCATACGACCCCCAAACACTGAATTCAAGCCACAGTACACTGTGAAGACTGTGAAGCATGGTGGTGCAAGCATCATGATATGGGGATGTTTCTCATACTACGGTGTTGGGCCTATTTATCGCATACCAGGGATCATGGATCAGTTTGAATACATCAGAATACTTGAAGAGGTCATGCTGCCTTATGCTGAAGAGGAAATGCCCTTGAAATGGGGGTTCCAACAAGACAACGACCCCAAACACACCAGTAAACGTGCAACATCTTGGTTCCAGACCAACAAGATGGACGTTATGGAGTGGCCAGCACAATCCCCGGATCTTAATCCAATAGAAAACTTGTGGGGTGACATCAAAAATGCCGTTTCTGAGGCAAAACCAAGAAATAGAGAAGAACTGTGGAATGTGGTCCAATCATCCTGGGCTGGAATACCTGATCACAGGGGCCAGAAGTTGGGGGACTCCATGCAACACAGATGTACAGCAGTTCGCAGAAACAGTGCGACTACAACCAAATATTCATGAAGTCATTCAAAGGAAAGCAAAATCTTCCAACATTTCTCAGTTTATATAGTGAATGTTTGAGTTTGTAAAGAAGAATACAAACACTGCGATTTTTTGGAACCGTCTAATATTCACTTTTCTTCAATTTTTTTAGAGGAACAACACAAATTTGATCTATTTTTCTTCATGTTTTCATTTGGAATAGAATGTGTCGTGTTCCCAATGCATTTGTGTGTATGGAAATAAAAGCTATTAGAAGGATTTTGAGCTTTATTCACTTTTTTCAACACAATGCTATTATTTTGAACACAACTGTATGTTGTACATTCACCTCAGTCCCTAACCCTCAAGGGGAGTACAATCTAAGGTCCCTAACCCTCAAGGGGCGTACAATCTAAGGTCCTAACCCTCAAGGGGCGTACAATCTAAGGTCCCTAACCCTCAAGGGGCGTACAATCTAAGGTCCCTAACCCTCAAGGGGTGTACAATCTAAGGTCCCTAACCCTCAAGGGGCGTACAATCTAAGGTCCCTAACTCACATTCATACATACACATACTAGGGACAATCTAGAGAGGAGCCAATTAACCTCCCAGCATGTCTTTGGAGTGTGGGAGGAAACCGGAGTACCAGGAGGCAACCCACGCAGGCACAGGGAGAACATGCAAACTCCAGGCAGGTAGTGCCATGGTTGGGATTCGAAACAAAGACCCTAGTACTGCCAGGTGGAAGTGCTAACCATTTAGCCACTGTGCTGCCTTTGTTACATCATGTGTCTCCATCAGAGTGCCCCCTTACATCAGGTGTCCACATTAGAGTGCACTTTTACATCATTGTCCCTGTCACGTACCTGATGGGAGACTGAAATGACGAGGTCGGCCTTACTTGTGTCACTAGCCCTGAACCCGCTGATGTTGGAACAGAGGGGGTCTAGGGACCAGGGGGACAAGAGCGCCAGTGGTTGTTGCTTGTAGCTCTTGCAGATGATGACCTTGGAAGGCGGATGATCCTCTGATTTGGACACCGTAATAATAGACAGAGCAGGTTCTGTGAATTGCCAGACGTGCAGCAGAGCAAGGTAGGTAGAGAGGACAAGAGACTGGAGCAGTGTCATGGGATAGCCGGGATCATCAACAGTCGGGCAGCGCGCGGTACAGAATCAGAAGGAAAAGCCAAGGTCAGGAGCAGAGCTGAAGTCAGGAACCGGTATCAGGAGAGTAATCGAAGTCGGGTCAGGAACAAGTCGGGTCCCTATCGAGGCCCCCCATACATCAGAGTCCATCTTGAAGTCCCCCTTCACATCTGGGTCCCCATTTGAGCCACCCTTACATCCAGGTCCCCTTCAGAGTCCCCCTTACTTCCAGGTCCTCATCAGAGAGTCCCCCTTACATCAGAGTGTCCCCTTACATCAGGTGTCCCCATCAGAGCACCCCCTTACATCAGGTGTCCCCATCAGAGCACCTCCTTACATCAGGTGTCCCCATAATAGTACTCCTTACATTAAGTGTCCCCATCAGAGTGCTCCCTTACATCTGGTGTCCCCATCCTCCATCAGAGTGCCCCCTTACATCAGGTGTCTGAATCAGAGTTCCCCCTTGCATGGATTGTTACCATCAGAGTGCCTCCTGAATCAACTGTCTGCATCAGACTGGCTCATGGATCGGTGGATACACTCTCAGAGACCTGGGAGGGTCACAGATAAAACCTGGGGGAGGGTAGCACAGTCCACCTGAGCACCCCCCTAGATCCGGCCCTGTAAGCGGGGATAAATAAAAAGTAATTGGAGCGAGTTAAAGTGTTACTAAACCCCCATCAGTAAAATCAGTCTGTATATGTAGTAAAGCATGCTTGTTATACTCACTGTGGAACCTAAGGGGTTAATCCTCTGCACTGTGTAAAAATGCTGTTTGATCCTATCTTCTCTGATCCTCCCCTTCTTCTACTATCCCCACTGCATCTCCAGATATAATAGAGGCTTGGAGTCACTCTGCACATGCTCAGATTGGTGTGTATTGCTAAAGAGCTTTTTTTTTTCTTGGTTAGAGTGCATGTGATCAACACAAGGCCAATCAGCGCTGTCCATACAGAGGATCAGGGGTTCTGCAGTCTCATAGGACAATCAGGGAAGAACGAAAACTCCTCTTACAAGCTTTAACCAGTGCTCTGCTGGATACTGATAGAAGTCACAAGACTGCTCTATACTGCTGATGAGAAAAGGCATTTAGCAGTTTATATTTACTAAAATTATTGCATTTCCATGTTCTGTGTACTGTGGGAGACCAGATATAGTGAATACAGGGTCCGGGGAGACCAAATATAGTGAATGCAGGGTCCGGGGAGACCAGATATAGTGAATGCAGGGTCCAGAGAGACCAGATATAGTGAATGCAGAGTCCGGGGAGACCGGATATAGTGAATGCAGGGTCCGGGGAGACCAGATATAGTGAATGCAGGGTCTGGGGAGACCAGATATTGTGAATGCAGGGTCCGGGGAGAGCGGATATAGTGAATGCAGGGTCCTGGGAGACCCGATAGAGAGTGAATGCAGGGTCCAGGGAGACCGGATATAGTGAATGCAGGGTCCTGGAGAGACCGGATATAGTGAATGCAGGGTCCTGGGAGACCGATATAGTGAATGCAGGTCCTGGGAGACCGGATATAGTGAATGCAGGGTCCTGGGAGAGACCAGATATAGTGAATGCAGGGTCCGGGGAGACCGGATATAGTGAATGCAGGGTCCTGGGAGACCAGATATAGTGAATGCAGGGTCCTGGGGAGACCAGATATAGTGAATGCAGGGTCCGGGGAGACCAGATATAGTGAATGCAGGGTCTGGGGAGACCATATATAGTGAATGCAGGGTCCGGGGAGACCGGGATATAGTGAATGCAGGGTCCGGGGAGACCAGATATAGTGAATGCAGGGTCTGGGGAGACCAGATATAGTGAATGCAGGGTCTGGGGAGACCAGATATAGTGAATGTAGGGTCCTGGGAGACCAGATATAGTGAATGCAGGGTCCTGGGAGACCAGATATAGTGAATGCAGGGTCTGGGGAGACCGGAGAGAGTGAATGCAGGGTCCAGGGAGACCAGATATAGTGAATGCAGGGTCCTGGGAGACCAGATATAGTGAATGCCGGAGAGAGTGAATGCAGGGTCCAGGGAGACCAGATATAGTGAATGAGGGGTCGTAGGAGACCGGATATAGTGAATGCAGGGTCCGGGGAGCCGGGATATAGTGAATGCAGGGTCCTGGGAGACCAGATATAGTGAATGCAGGGTCCTGGGAGACCAGATATAGTGAATGCAGGGTCCGGGGAGCCCAGATATAGTGAATGCAGGGTCCTGGGAGACCAGATATAGTGAATGCAGGGTCCTGGGAGACCGGATATAGTGAATGCAGGGTTCGGGGAGACGGATATAGTGAATGCAGGGTCCTGGGAGACCAGATATAGTGAATGCAGGGTCGGGGAGACCGGAGAGAGTGAATTCAGGGTCCGGGGAGACCGGATATAGTGAATGCAGGGTCCGAGGAGACCGGATATAGTGAATGCAGGGTCCTGGGAGACCGGATATAGTGAATGCAGGGTCCAGGGAGACCGGAGAGAGTGAATGCAGGGTCATGGGAGACCGGAGAGAGTGAATGCAGGGTCCTGGGAGACCAGATATAGTGAATTCAGGGTCCGGGGAGACTGGAGAGAATGAATGCAGGGTCCAGAGAGAGTGAATGCGGGGTCCGGGGTTTAGTAACAGTTTAAATTCCTCTTTAAAAGGAAAAAGGCTGTCTTTAAGTGAGTCTGCTATTTTTGCTTTGCTTTTCATGTCCAATTGCTGGCAGCCTTGAGATAAGACCCACCCTTGATGTGTCAGCATGGTTACAACATGGATTTTCACATGGATGCAATCAAAAACTATTTAACCAGAATACAGTAGCTCTGATAGGCATTCTTTTTACTTGAAAGTTACTTTTTTTTTTTTTATAACTTTCTGTGCATGTGCACCTTTCTTACATTTTGCAAGCTTTAAACGTATCTGAGTGGCTGCTCCTGTCGCGTTTTAAATTTTAGTTTTAAATAAATGTATTAATTCTAATTTATTCTACAGGTGGAGCTCTGAAAACCTACATTGCGGTATTTAATGAAAATCTGTCCTTAAAAGCAACATTTCATCTCCATCTTGTTACAAGCGATGAAGCAGCCGAAGTCAATGTCACTGTCAAAAATCCACATTACCATCAAACAGTATCTATCGGAAGTAACAGCTCCGTCATGTTAACCTTGAGCAGTCAATATATGGTCACTGGTAATGGAGTCTCTTCTAAAGTTGTGATGGTGACCTCAGATGTTGATATATCTGTATTCGGGTTTAACACGGATGTCTATAGTGCTGATGCCAGTTTTATTCTCCCTGTAGAAGACCTGGGCACAGAATATTTCATATTCACCCCACGGTCAGGAAATAAAAAGCAGTTTGCAATAGCCACTGGTGTAGACAGAATAGAACGGGTTGAGGTTACAGTCTCAGGATCTCTCACATACAATGGTAAGCTCTACAGTACTGGAAACACCTTCTCATTTTCCCTTGCCCCCCATGAAGTCATCCAATTTCAAAGTGACATCGATTTAACTGGCACTAAAATTGTGGCCTCAGCACCAGTAGCCGTTTTCACTAGCCATTTGTGTTACGCTGGTCCTAATACAAAATGAGATACCTTGATTCAGCAGCTTCATCCTGTGAATAACTGGGGCACATCCTTTATTGTGGTTCCACTGGCCAACCACACCAACGATATCATTGATATAATGGCAGCTTATGAAGATACTACCGTGAAAGTAGATCAGAAAGAGCACACTCTTCAGCCAGGTTCCCACGTCCAACTTACGCTGGACAGAAGCGTTCTTGTGAATTCCTCAAAACCTGTTTGGATTTCCTATCTCTCTCATGACACGGATGACCCATTTCTATCAACTGTTCCACCGCTCCAAAAGAGAAGGCAGCACTACACATTTGTAACAGACTCTTTCTATAACACTTATATCATGGTTGTGTCTCAGGCACTTTCAGCCTCAGACTTTTACCTGGACCAGAAGCCTTTGAGTCAATACAGCTTCTTCACCAAAGAGATGAATGGATTCAGAATATGGGAAGTCTCTTTAGGCAAAGTTCCCGGAGCTCATGAAATATTTCACAAGAGCTTGCCATTCAGCATTTATGTTTATGGATTTGAATATCGGATTTCCTATGGATATACAATGGGACTTGAAAGCAAGTATCCAGGTAATGAAATGTACAGACTTTATTGGTACATGACAAAGCCAATCTAAACAACAAAACAATATGTACGTATTCAGGGGTGGACTGACAACTCATGGGCTCCCGGGCAATAAGGGATCATGGGGCCCCTGTGTCCTTGCCCACACTCAAACCACACCCAAAAGAACCTATGAAAGGTACCAGGGGCATCTCATGGGGCCCCTTACTGACCCTGGGCTCTCGGGCAGTGCCTGAGTTTCCGAATGGTCAGTCCGCCCCTGTACGTATTTAAATCATAAGTTCACCTTTCAACAAAAAATAATAAATGCATTTATTATTTTTGTTGTAGGAGCCTGTAAAGCATTGCACCAGCGATCAGCAGATCACGGGTGCCATGCAGGGCTCCTGCAGACCTGTCAGTATATCTGCTTCCTCGTATCTCGTACTAGCAAGCCAATACCTACCGACAGGAAAACAGAATGAACTACCACAATGCTCACAGTGCCGGGGTAGTTATTTGAGAACTACAAGCCAACCGCTGAGGCTGTGGGGATTTGTAGTTTCCTTTTCACAGAACTTTGTAAATGAGTGATGAGGCCCAGCACCCGGACTCCGTATGGGTCCATTTTTTTAAAATTGTGACAGCTAGAAGAGGGAGAAGTTCTCCCGCTAGTTGTCACATAGAAGGAGCCGGGGGGTACAGTGGGGGGGCTGGTCCGAGAGTAACATGTTACATGTTACACCCTGAATATGGGTGTAACATGTTACAAAAGGTGAACGTATCCTTTAACCACTTCCTGTTCCGGCCCATGTACATAAACGGCCAGACGGGAGCAGTGCAGGAGCGGGTTGCTGTTTATAAACGCATTTTCAGGCAGTGTACGCTTTCTGGGAACACGCGGCACCCCGATCCGGTGCCCACTGTGTCCTCCAGACCTCTGTTCCCTTTCTATATTTACCTTACAAATGCCCCTTTAAGACCCTCCCACTGTTAGTGAAATTTGACCACACCCACTATTTGGCAAGGTTTGGAGGGTGTGTGTGTGGGGGTAAGGGGGAGGGGGTTTGGGGGTCGTGGTTGAGTTCCTGTACCTATTTTCTGAGAAAAAAAGCCGTGCAGAAAAAGAAATGATAAACTCCAATGACCCTCCAAACACATTTGGCATTAAATATTTACAAAAGCACCACTTGACACTGACCATTGCGATGCCTGTTGTGATTGCTGACCAGCTGTAGGACTTTGTAGGTGGCAACAATCCTGTGTAATAAAACTAGTTAGGAGATGATACTCTGTGGCAAATTCTGAATCACTTATAGAAAAGCTAGAAATCTTTTGCATGAATGTAAGTAGGGACTCTACACTGACCATCAATGTAAGAGACAAGGGCGTCCCTAGGGTTGGTGTCACCCGGTGCGATAACACTTGGTGACACCTCTTCCTGTGATCCCCGCAGAATGGATCGGATCTGCGGATTGAGCATAATGGATCGGACTCGGATCCATTATGCTCTTCAGTCCGCAGATCCGATCCATCCTGCGGGGATCGTCAGCATGCAACCTATACGGGGTGACACTGGACCCGCTCCACGAAAAGGTAAGTTGTAAAGAAAAATAAAAATAAACCATATAAATGCTGCGCTACATTCAAACTTATTTAAGTGAATGTGGAATCCAATAACTCAAATCAAAAATAGTGACAATAATAATGAAAATAAATAATATGTGCTTAATGATAACAAAATTACCAAATAAACCACCCAAACTAATGAAAAAGCACAAACTTAAATCTATAGTATGTGCATGAGAAATACACATACATATATTACATCACACGTGCACAATGTGAAGTGAAATGATGACTAAATAATAAACGCAAACTCAAAGTCCAATAATGAAATGTTGAAGGTGAACAAAACTGTAAACGGTGTTTCCAATAATACTGTAAGGTGACCACAAGTGAAACAAATCGTGCAGATATCTGGGTGTAGATAGATCTTATGAATCCAACCACCTTCTGGATTAGCCTCTCACCTCATCACTTTGACCCTTGCGGGTCAAAGAGCAGTAATGGATCCCTCTCACAGATCCTCCAGGCACCACAGCACTCCAAAACCACTTTTCAGGATTTAGTATTCCCACTCAGGCTCTTCTCCAAGTATAGTATGTTACCAGGACATAGAAGGTGAATCTCCCCAGGGGAAACACAGATCGCAATAACAATTTCATAGGGAATCTAACCCATGACTTGCTTCCATTGTGAGGATCTTTTTAAGATCAATAGGAAGGATTTTCCCAACTCCAAAGCTTGAATCACCTTACAGTATTATTGGAAACACCGTTTACAGTTTTGTACACCTTCAACATTTCATTATTGGACTTTGAGTTTGCGTTTATTATTTAGTCATCATTTCACTTCACATTGTGCACGTGTGATGTAATATATGTATGTGTATTTCTCATGCACATACGTATAGATTTAAGTTTGTGCTTTTTCATTAGTTTGGGTGGTTTATTTGGTAATTTTGTTATCATTAAGCACATATTATTTATTTTCATTATTATTGTCACTATTTTTGATTTGAGTTATTGGATTCCACATTCACTTAAATAAGTTTGAATGTAGCGCAGCATTTATATGGTTTATATTTACTTGATCACTGGTATATGATTTAATGCTAGCAGCTGTTTGGGGTTCATATATTAATTTAGTTTGTTTTAAACACACATTTGGAGCGCAGGAGGGTCACACCACTATTGCTACTAAGTTGTAAAGAAAGCCGACAATCCCCGCAGGATGGATCGGATCCTATCCTGCGGGGATCGTTGGCTTGCTTTACAACTTACCTTTTTGTGGAGCGGGTCCGGTGTCACCCGGTGCGGGCTGCACCTGCCTTGGGACGCCGCTGGTAAGAGAGGATGTACAATGTACGCTGACCACCAAAGCGATGGGGATTCTACACTGACCATCAATGTAAGAGGTGATTTTGGCTGACCACCATTGTAAGAAAGGATTTACACTGACCTTTGCGCTCCATATAGTAACCTACCTTCCCTCTGTTACCTCCATGACAGTGCTGCAGCACCCTCCCTTCATGTTCTGTATCTGGTGCAGAGATGGACTGACAACTCATCGGGCCCCCGGGCAGTAGGGGATCATGGGGCCCCCTGTGTCCTCGCCCACACTCAAACCACACCCAAAATGAAAAGGTACTAGGGGCATCTCATGGGGCCCCCTACTGACCCTGGGCCCTCGGGCAGTGTCCGAGTGCCCAAATGGTCATTCTGCCCCTGATCTGGTGTGTCATGCTCTGCTCATTTGCAGGTAGCACTCTTACCTACTTAGCCTACTTTTGACTGTTTTCATTCCTCACATGGGTGATGGTGGGTGGGGCCTCTGGGGTTGGCCATGATTTGCATGTTAATGAGTTGGGTAGTTTACATGTGAATGTGAAGTAATTTGCATATGAATCAACCCTATGCCTGCACACTGTAATCTGTCAGTACTAGGCAGAAGTGGTGACAGACTCAACAAGCTTTAAGCTTGGGACCAGGGGCATAGTCACCACAAGTTTGCAGTTTGGTGATGTGACTACTGTGCAGCTCCCGGTTCTCTTTACTGGAGAAGAAGCTGTACCTGATGACCTGCAGTACAAAGATCTTCCTGCTTATGCTTTATTCATTCTGTGGATGAGTTCTTCCTTCACTTCTCCCACTGCTCCTTCAGTATTCCCCCACTAGCCATCACCAGTTATCAGGGGGCAGCTCTGACATGAGGAAGTAAAGCCCTGTGTCTACCAAGAGGGTGACCTCTCCACACAGAGACACAGTGCAAAACAAAGCATAATAAGTCAAAAGCAGGGAAAAGCTTAATTGCAAGGAGAACACCAATATTACTGGTGATTAGTCCTTTGCTAGTACAAGTCCTCATTAAGACCTTTGTCTAACAAAGTCCATCTGGGCCACATCTGGAATATACCATCCAGTTCTGGTCTCCAGTCCTCAGGAAGGATGTGCTTGAGCTGGAGGGAGTCCAGAGAAGGGCAACAAAGTTAATAAGTCGATTGGAGGACCTCAGTTACAAGGAAAGATTACAAACATTAAACTTATTCTCCTTGGAGAAGAGACGCTTGAGAGGAGATATGATAGCGATATACAAATACCTCAATGGTGATTCTAACAAAGAGAGTAAACTATTCAGCCTAAGAATACAGTATAAGAAGACACGGGGCCACTTAATGAAGTTGGAGGAGAAGCGTTTTAATCTTAAACTGTGTAGGGTTTTTTTCACTGTCAGAGTGGTAAGGATGTGGAACTCGCTTCCACAATTGGTGGTGTCAGTGGAAAGTATTGAAAGTTTCAAAGAACTCTTAGATGGGCATCTTAACGAACACAATATACGGGGATATGGGATATGATTTTGACATGAGCCCACAGACACCCACATAGGTTGAACTGGATGGACTGGGGTCTTTATTCAACCTTACCAACTATGTAACCGTTACAATGACAAATTATGTTACAGTGGATGGCAAAAGGAGCCGAAGTTATAAAGATAGACAAATATTTTTCAACTTCTGATACAAAGACATTGCTGATATTGTACACTCTTTTCAGTGGTTGCTTTTATTTCATACGTTAGCTTCATCCAAAATAAAGCCAACAGAAGGGCCAGAAATCCAATCCGTTTTCAAATGTTTCTCCCATGGAGCTGAAGTCCATCTGCCTCTCAGCTTGGTGTCCAAAGCCAAATTAAATATGATTGATGTCCACCTTGAAGACCCCACATGCAGAGGAACTCAGAAAGGGAAGTTCGTGTGGTGATAAATGTACCTTTTAATAAATGTGGATCCAAAGTTCTGGTGAGTCATATGGTGTTTTATCTGTCACATGTCTTGTTTATTGCTTCAAATTATGGCCTTTTTTAATTTTTAGGGTCATGCCAAGCCAATGCACTTACCCCTGTAGTTACTCCTGAGTTGCTTCGGTTTTCAACAGAAAACACAAAATTTCAGAATTTCAGATTGGGACTCATGGGATGTTCTCCCAGTTTACCAGGCTTATTAGCTAGTTCTATAACCCTTTTCTCCCTGGGGACTCGAAGCACTTTGTCATGCAGATAGTGCCCTGACCAGGACTCAAACTGAGGCCCCATTGCAGCAAGGCAGGAGCGCTAACCACTAGGCCACTGCGCTTTCTTGCACCCACCCAGAGGAGAGTGGTGTGCAAAGGTATCCTACTGCCCTGAAGGTCAGATCTACGTTGGGAGTTGTCTCAGCTGCTTGTTCTTGCCACCCGCCCAACACCCTGCTATATTTAGCAGGAAACTTTACACATTTAAAAAAAAAAAAAGTCAGCAGCTGCAAATACTTAAAAAAATAGTTACTTTTCAGTCTGTGGAGTTCAGCCCTGCCTTCTCACAGCCAATTCTTCTCATTGCTGCAGGTCCCTGGCACCGCCATCTTGGATTTGGGAACTAGCTGTGACTTCATGAGGAATCAAAGCTAGCTCTCCACTGTGCATGGATTGTTAGTGCAGTGAGACTTCTCCTTCTCAAGTGTATGCCATGTCCCAGGAGGTTGCAAACTGGGACGGAAGTGGGATGAGTGACATCATTCTTGTTTAGGTGACAATTGAGAAAGTGGAAGCAGGTACAAAAAGGTACACTCTCCCCGTAATAAATAAATATGTCAAGGGCGGGGTGAGGAGGAGGATGAGCAGTCCTTTTGCTTTTGAGTAACGGTCCATTTTAAGTCTCCAATAAAATGCATTTCTTATTCTACTTTAAAGCAGAACTCCAGTCCAGCGGGGGACTGTTTCTACCCTCCTCACGTCGAGGCAGTCTTTGGGCGTGATGACATCAGAAACAGTCCTTGCACAAGATCTCTAGTGTGCTAGGGGCAGGGGCAGCAGGGACCGGTCTTGCTCTCGAAGGATTGGCGGATTAGATAAGTATATCTCCGCTCTCCAAACCCCTCGACAAAAAATAACAGTTAACCCATGCAGTGGGGACACAGCCCCACTGCAAAGGAGTTTTTTTACTGGAGTTCTTCTTTAAGTGATGTACAAACCTTGTTTCTTGGGGAGAAATTATTTTCTATTCATTACAATATTTCAGGATAGAACAAGTCTTTCCTCCTCAAATCCTGTTGACTGATGTCTGTGTTGCAGGGAATGGCTGATACAGAATGGGGGGCAGAGGTGGTAGGAAATTAGCCCCTTGATTGGCATTGATGGAAAGAAAAAATAAGGAAACAACTATAGCCATATCATTAATGCTGCGAATTCTGCTGTGGTTAGTGTTTTGCCTATTCAATGCCTTTAAATTCATGGCTAGATGTTCTACCTCCTTAAAGTGGACCTGAACTGAAAAATTTAAGCTACCCCATGCTGTAGAAAACATCTATACTTCATGTCTTGAATTTGTCTTAAAAATTAGTAGTGCGCTCCAATGCCTTGAGCCTTATTGATGTATATCTGTAACATGTTCATTGCACTGTTGCTTATACCGCTAGTCTCACAACATTTTGAGTGAGATTTGGTGATGTCACTATTGTACTGCTCACTGTTCTCCTTGCTGAAGGGAAAGCAGTACCTGAGGAACTGCAGTGCAAGGATCTCACAGCTTGTCTATGCTTCATCCAGTATGTGCATTTGTGGTTTCTCCACCTCTCCTGTTGCTGCTTAATACTTCATAAGTCATCAGATTGACATTTATAGGGAAGCAGATTGTAAGGGCCTTTTATGGGAGCTGTTGCCTTTTATTTTTACCAAGGAATTGGCTTGCCATTCTAGACATATAATGATAGGTTATCAATAGACAGGTGGGTGAAACCAGGTGAGCGTGGGACCCTGCATGCGGAGATAGGACCCTCACTAGTAGGGGGGAAAAAACAGTCTATAGGATGCTTTTTTGATTATGAAGGAGGAGTAGGAGAAGGTGAAATTTACACTAGACACACAAAATGCCTATAAAACATGACATGAACTTTTATACACCATCAACTCTTCAGGTGGCACAGAGCTGAAAATAAAAAACATTTATATCTTGCAGGTTAACCTTGTAGAGTTGGGGCTCATTCACAAGAGCAGAAAAATAGCATGATTAAATGCATACAGCATATAGTATGCATCTAAATGCAGCACTATAGGAGTCAATAGGGCCATACAGACAGCGACATCTAAATATAAATGCAAATGTTGACATGGCCCCCCCCCCCCTACCCCCCCACTACCCCCCCCCTCTCGCCACAACCACTGCACTCCAAGATTCTCAAAGTGGCTAAAGAGCTATTTCAGATCTTCTCACAAGAGGGGTTGACTGGTGTGGCGGGGGCAATTACAAAAACCAATCCCCTGTATGGCTCTCCATGCAGCAGCTGAAACCCGCAGGAGGGAAAGGAGTAGCAGCCGGGTTTCAGCTACTGCATGGAGAGCCAAATAGTGGGTCTGTTCTTGTAATTGAGGCAACCCCCCCCCCCCCCAACCCCCACACACACACATACACACACAAAACATAATGTAACAGGGAGGTTGCATGGACCTCCTGGAGCATGGGCAAGGCCACTATTGCGACCCCTGCGACCCATGAAGCTCTGCATCATGGACGGTAAATATCTGCAGATTTTACATGTGTACTCATGCATGCAAAAAGTCATTCATTTGTTGAATGACAGAAGATTTGTACCTGTCTACTCTGCCAGCAAGATCCTGTGTTCTGTGCAGAATATATGCATGTTCCCATGTGAATAAGCCCCGAATGATAACATGGACTTTCTTTCACAATAAAAACTATGCTGACAAGTTGTGTACAAAATAGCCTTACCTGATTGGTGGCCGTGGTCACAAATAGACAGGTTATAGTAGTTTATCTCCAACTTGCAGCGGGGCCACCTCCATTCTTCATTTTGTAATCGTATACACTGTATATGTTATGTAGAGATATCTCTTGCTTGTTGGTTATTATTTTAGTTCTTTGCACACAGAATGAAAATGGGATGATGTTTTATGTAAATACTGTCTATGGAACAGTTCCAACAACTGGAGTCCAGCGTATTGAACTCCCATTAAGGTGTGAAATGAAAAACAACAAGACACTTGGATGGAACC